GTCAACACAATATATGTCTGCTCAGTCAACACAATATATGTCTGCTCAGTCAACACAATATATGTCTGCTCAGTCAACACAATATATGTCTGCTCAGTCAACACAATATACGCCCTTGTATATAACCCGCTCCCTGCCACTATCCCTGGTCTCGAGTAACGCGGGCTGAGGGCATTTCCTTTATTGCTTACCGAGTTAATTCCTCCGAAGGGATAACAGAGCTGAATGAATTAGTAATGTAATTACTACTATGGCATTGTCGAATGATATGTGAATGGATTACTACACAATCTAAACGTTTGATTTGATAAACGGGGATTGAGATACGGGGATTGAGCTACTGGGAATGAGATATGGGGATTGAGATACGGGGATTGAAATACGGGGATTGAGATACGGGGATTGAGATATGGGGATTGAGATATGGGGATTGGAATACGGGGATTGAGATAAGGGGATTGAAACACGTAGCGAAGTATCTTCTTCATTGAAGCAGTTCCGAAAAATTATGAACAGTAGAAACTTGGCGTGAGCGTCAAAGCTTAAAGACAGATTTAGTTTGTTAAATTTATCAGGAGTGAAAATGTAGTCCAGCTCTCTGATGATCTTCATTCATGAAGAATAGGGAGAATCTCACCCTGGCCAAAGGCAGCTACGTCGTGTGAGAATATTTAGAAAACTAAGCCTGCAAAGTGGTCAGTATACCGGGAACGATGAGGTTAGAAGCAGTTATAGCTGCGCTAAAAAATACAATCGTCTGGTCACGAATCAGAAACTTTGTCCTTTATAGATGATCGTTCATTTAGATAGTTCTAAATAAGGTAACAGACCAATTAGTGGCGATGAGAAAACCCTACGGAATGTGGTGTGTTGATGGTATAATATGCCGACGAAGTGGACCTCTCTCGGATGAAGGGTTTACATTGGGAGCATGTGTCCTGCATCATGCAGGGCCGAGTAATGACCCTGTGTCCTCATTAATTGCTGGTTTGTGCTCGGCCATCTCTTTTAACTACAATCCTGAATAGCTTTAACTTCAGCAGAAGGTAAAAGGCAGGATCTATGTTCGAGGCGACCATAACAATCTTAAGTCAATAAACCGTTATTACCTCACATGTAATATCTGTCTGTGTATGACGTATTATTCGTTTTACCCACATGAAATGTGACGATATAAGTGTTATAAACAATTTACCATTGTATCTAATGTAAAACATCGATAAAGCTTGCTAACAATACTTCCATCCCTCGAGTGCACATTTATTCCAATTATGCCGCTAATCCTTAGAATTTCTCATTTTTATCCGTATACTCAATGGCTTGCAAGTAGATCAAGTCAGGAGTTTATGCCTACACTTTTCGCTCTAGGCTACCCCAAGTTGAATTTTGGCCTCAAGTTAAATTTTAACTTCAAGTTGAATTTTGGCCTCAACTTGAAGCGGCTTGCAGCTCATGCCATCAGAGCTTGCAAGTAGAACAATAGTAAGCAGGAGGGTAAATACAATAGTAAATAGGTTGGGTAATTACAATAGTAAGTAGGAAGGTAAATACAATAGTAAGTAGGAGGGTAATTACAATAGTACCGTAAGTAGGAGGGTAAAAACATTAGTAAGTAGGACGGTAATTACAATAGTAAGTAAGAGGGTAAATACATTAGTAAGTAGGAGGGTAAATACATTAGTAAGTAGGAGGGTAATTACAATAGTAAGTAAGAGGGTAAACACAATAGTAAGCAGGAAAGTAAATAAAATAGTAAGTAGGAGGGCAAATATAATCGTAAGGAGTAGGGTAAATACTATAGATAGTAAAATCAAATTAATACACGGGCGACTCAACGTCACCATGAGAATGTATCGAGCAGCAACAACTTACGGCTGCAAAGTACGGCGCGGCTGCACTGCGACGTCTAAAGTATGTCGCGGCTGCACGGCGACGTCCAAAGGACGTCGCGGCTTCACGAGACGTCGCAGACGTTTAAGAAGTCGCGACCCCAAGCCAGGCTCCGTCATCTCCCGGGCGTCGGCAGGCGCTCCTGGTGGGCGCTGGTCGCGATCAACGCTCCTGCGACACAACGCGGACGACAACTTCAAGCAACGCCACCAGAACACATTAATAATAATCAGTGCACATCATCATCATCACAGGTACAGTATTATCAACAACAGCCCAATATTCCAGAAATGAATTTCACGAGGAAGTGTGGAGGCCATGTGTTGAATTCATCCATACCATCGTCTCCGTTAATATCGATTTCAACGTATCATTGAATTCAACATTCATCAGACCAACGCGGCGGTGGTGTTAGTAGCGGGCATAATAAGCGAGGCTCGCCTACGGGACGCACCGGTATCTGTAATACGCTCAGCTGAGAACAGACACCGCAGTTATCCAAAGGAACCTCGAATATCGCGAAATGTTGGCAGCTAATTTCATTAATTTCGCTCAAAAAAATTACTATAATATTGCCTCTAAGTCTAATATGACAGTTTTACTGTATTATTGCCCTGTTTGCTAACCTATCTATATCCTAGTATGTGACTGCCAGAATGTGGTTGAGGTGCTCAGAGTTGACTATGAGGCGATGGACGTTGTAATTGGCAGCGAACATTTCCTGGACGGACTTGTGGTGAAACTCAAGGTGCTTGCACAGTTGCCCGGACAGTGGCTTGTGCACTTTCAGGACCGCTGATAAAACTATTTCGGGATCAAATTTATCGACCCACTTATGTTTGAGGAGAGGTAACACGACTTCTGATACTGTGACGGTATTTTCGTGAAGCAACTTGAGCGCTCCAGCACCGGTATAGGCGAACAGACTGGCAACCATGCCGTCTGTATCTGTGTAGTTCGTCTCTTAATTTCGACTTGACCAATTTATGTAATAGCTGAGCTTGTCAGGCGCTACGTCCCAAGACGTCTGCCACGAGGATATTGCCTCGGTGATGTGCTTCTGCATCTCACAAAAATGGACCAAGTTAATTGGTTCAGTGAATTGACTTCTGGCATCCTCACTGAGCGACTTGAAGCTCTTTGTGATCTCCCCAGTCGGAGTGTAGTTACTGAAAGATCGACAAGGTCCTGAGGGACAGAATAAAATCCCAAAATTTTTCCGTATGAGCTCGAGCTTAGCCTTTTTCAATTCATCGGATTGATGTTTATCCACAATCTTGGTCTTATTGTGCACTACATCTTTTCGGAAATTCTTGACGTCACGAATCACATCGAGCAACGTTTCAGCAGAACGCCTGTTTCCGTCATTGCAGGGTCGAGTAATGACCCATGTGCCCTCGTGCATTGCTAGTTTGCAGATTGGCTATCTCTTAATAAGGCTACCTCACGTTGAATTTTGACCTCACGTTAATTTTTTTTCAACTGTTTTCGTGTATCTCTCATATTGACATGGAGCCAGTGTCGTCGTTATCAGTAAACAACTATCAATCTTATACTCATACATATATGAGTATAACAACACAGTTACATATACAGTTCTGCCTCAATTACATTCGAGGACTTTTGAAATATGGCCTCCGAAGTGCCTTGATCACTTATTAAAAAGAAGTAAAATTTCAGCAGTTTTGTTCCATAATTAAATAAATAATTTAATTGGTGAACTGATACAATTGAATGAACTAAGTAACGGAAATGAAAATTAAGTTAAATGTAGTAAAAGGGAAAAGATTGAAATATAAAAATAACATACAAACGACATCAAGCATATTCTCTGCTTACCGTGGTATTTCCTCTGCCGTGGCTCCCAGGATGCAGTCGAGGGAGTCGTCGCCGACTAGAATGAGCTGCACGACGTGGTCTGCAGCGACGATCTCTTGCACCGTCTTGTGCGGGAAGGCATAACTCTTGCCCTCTCCCTTAAATAGAGTCTTTTGCTCCTTCAGTAAAACTGAAAGAACAATTTCCGGGTCGAATTTCCCACTAGCATCTATTTTTTCCTGGCACTTCTTCTTCAATCCAAGGAGCTCCTCTCCTGAAAATGTTACGCTGTTGTCACGCAGCAACTCCAACGCTTCATGACCGATTACATCAAGCAGATCGGCAATCAAGACGTCAGTTGCGTTGTAGTTCGAATCCGCCAATTTCGACAGGATGAGTTTTTTATACAAGCGAAGAACGGATGGCGCCACGTCCCCGGGCGTCTGCCACGAAGATATTGCCTCAGGGAAGTGCTTATACATCTCACAGAAATGAACCAAGTTAATTGGTTCAGTGAATTGATTTCTGACGTCTTCACTAAGCGACTCAAAGCTGTTCGTCATCTCCCCAGTCGGAGTGCCGTCACTAAAAGACTCTTCATACCGCCTCAAGAATTCAAGTTGGTCGGCAAGCTTCGTGAGAGGCAGGATCTCATACATAGTAGAGCTGACATCGTTCCGCAACAGCAGCGGTGCCAGCTTCTCCACGGCATGAGGACGACTCGTGATCAACACACGGCAGTTAGCGCGCCATGTTTTCTCGATAATCTCGACAACGACTTTTCTGGAAGTTTCGTTGACTTCGTCGAAGCCATCGATGATGAATAAGACATCGAGGCGCAGGAGCGCCATGAGGACATTTTCTTTCAATAGTTCAATGCACAGGTCTTCGTAGTGCTGCTGGATGACGTCACTCAGGGTTGGTGTAGTGCGATTCCTGCACTCGAAGAAGATGAGTTGGTTAAACGACCTCAAGTAATCAGGAGGTGTTTGTTGCGTGTCAAAGAATTGCAGCACAATGTTTTTTACTAGGGTTGTCTTACCGGCGCCGGCGACGCCCGTCACCACCATAACCTTCTCATGAGCCTTAAATATTTCGGTGTAGGAAACAGTTGTCCCTCCGCCGGTTTCTCGCACATTCACGTCGATGGCGTGGAACACGGCCTGACGTTGCACCGTATCCTCGTTCAACAAAAGTTTTTCATATTCTAGCTTGGCCTCCCAGAGAAGTCTTACGGCCTGTTTTCCGCTTAATTCCAACCTCGTGCACCAGTAATAAATGCTTTGGCTGTCCATTATTTTCACTTTTTCAATTTCGTTGTCAAGGTTTCGTACCTCGGCATCAATATCTGCCTGGGGAAGAGCATAGAACCTCCCCGCTTCCCGCACCAGCTCCACCAGCGCTGCCGTCAACTCAGTGAATTTCTGCGCGTCGACTGCGTTGTTTATGTCGTGCATGACGGTGTTGCGCAGCTCCTTGACGGCGCGCAACTTGGCGAGCAGCGCTGCAGGATCCCTGGCGGTGCCCCCGTAGCGAAGATCAAAAAGTTCTTTGATGAGAAGGAAGAGCGGCGTGACATCTAGCGTGTCGGGATTATATGAAGTTTCTAATTTTTTTGATGAAAATCCCATTAGTTTTTTCCACTCTCCGTTGCTGTAAGCACTTCCACGCCTCCGTTCCATCAATTGCCTGTAGCTCTCGTTGCTTTGTTTGTCGTCACACTCCTTGTCTAGCGTGGACCGCATGACCCTGGGGCTCAGGTCCAAGTTGCCGACAATATTGCGGTAAATTCTTATGATTCTGTCGTCCATAGTGACAGCTGGTGCAGCAGGAGCGGGGCCGGTAATAGCACCTGTGCCGGCCATCTGGTAGGATCTGTTGAGCCGGGAAATCATTTGTGAATATAAATATGAAATTCATTCAAATATTAGCCAGATAGGCTCAGTTGTAATATTATTTCACACAAAACATTTCTCTGAATTTTAACTAATATTGGTTCTTTACGCAAGTAAATGACTTTTGGAATGCTTATGAGCGATAAAGAGAAAATCTTATTAGGTGCAAATATTTGAACTAATCACCCGGAAAATGGAATATTTAAAGAGAAATCCTCTGTATATTGGAATAATTGAACGCAAGTTAATATTTGTGCAAAGTTTTTGAGGAAAATAGATAACTGAAATGCAGTAATTACAAAGGGGAGAAGTGCTGTAATAAAGCAGCCATTAAAGGAGGATACCAGCAGTCCAAGGGAGAAGTGCTGTAATGAAGCAGGCATCTCCAGAAAAAATATCCAGCGTCTAATTCAACCATACTAGCTGTATTTTGTTAATTAATTTCAGGCGGTAAGAATCAGCATCAATCAAGCTGTGGCCGCGGTGACCCTCAGTGACCCTCGGAGTCGGTGTAGGCCACCATCAGAGGCGTTAAGGTCGGGGCCCTGATCATTGACATGAAACCATTCCCTGTTTTTAATTAATAAAATCAATTCCTTTTTTTTGTTGGAATGGTGAGTGTGGGAGGCCTTTTAAAAAAAAATAAAAAAAAATAAAAAATCAAGCGCCTCAATAAAAGAGTTGGAAATATAGAACATGTTCCAACAGACTCCAACACTAGTGCTGAGCAGTGCAGATAACGGCTATGAGGACAACAGATAACGGCTATGAGGGNATATACAGTTACGCGCATATTTATTGGCAACACGCTTAAAAATATTTAATTTGAGAAATAACATAATTTGATTGCAATTTTTGCAATTATTTTCAGTTAAATTTATCAAAGAACATCTGTGCACAACGGATAGTAAAACGTTAGATCATTGTTGCATTTATATTTTTTAAAAAAACACCAAAAGCAAAAGTAATGGCAACATTTTGAAAAAAAAAACATATAAATTGTTGGCAAATCTAAATTAATACTTTGTGTGACCTCCCTTGGCAGCAATGATAGCTGACAGACGCTTCTTGTATGTTTATACGAGGTGTTGACATGTTTTAATAGGAATCTTGCGCCACTCTTCCATGGCAAAAGTCTTTAATTCTTCGATATTGCTGGGTCTTCTTTTATGAACACGCCTCATGAGTTCCCTCCATAAATTTTCAATGGGATTTAAATCTGGGCTTTGGGAAGGCCATTCCAACACTCTCAATTTTTGCGTAGCAAAATATTTCTGTGTTGATTTGCTTGTGTGCTTAGGGTCGTTATTCTGTTGAAAGACAAATGCCCGTCCAAGATGCAGTTTCCTTGCCGATTGCTTTAACATTATCAGTTAAAATGTGTTGATATCCTTGAGAATTCATGATGCCCTCTATTACAGAAATATTCCCAGTACTTGCAGCAGCAAAGCATCCCCACAACATGATGGACCCACCACCATGCTTCACAGTAGGTATAGAGTGTTCTTTTCCAGCAGAGCGTCACCAGATTGCCTTCATACAAAGCGGTTGTCATTCACACCAAAAAGCTCAAGCTTTGTCTCGTCCGACCACAATATCTTATTGAGTTCTGCTTGAGTAGCATCGATGTGCTTCCTAGCGAACTCCAAACGCTTCTCCTTGTGAATTGGCTTCAACAGTGGCTTCATCCTTGGTACACGCCCGTGAAGGCCCTCACGGTTCAGATAGCGTCGCACTGTTGACACATCCACAGTTTTTCCAATACTAGCCAGATGTGATTGCAATTCCTTGGAAGTGATCTTCGGGTCTTTATTTACTATTTTCATGCAGGAACGCACATATCTCTCGGTTAATTTTCGATTACGACCGGTTCGTGCTCGATTAGCAGTGGTCCCATCATTCCTGAACTTGTCAATAATATTCCTTACGGATGAAATTGGAACATTCAGAGTTAATATTTTTCGATATCCATTTCCTTTGTTGTGTAGTTCAACTACACACTTCCTTATGTCCTGTGAGTATTCAGAAGTCTTCGCCATAATTGAATTTAGAAAATTTCGGAGATGAGTTCATACGACTGCTTCCAACGACTAACTGAGCAAGCGCAAACCATGGCGTATAGGTTTATAGTATAGGCACATAATGTTTTGGAATGTTCTGGAATGTTGTAGAGTCATCCTCAGATCAACCTAGAATATTCTTGATCAACAATGATGAGTTAAATTGATTTTATGTAAAGGTTGCCATTAATTTTGCACGAGTAAAATAACAATCAATTTACAAAATAAGATATACCTGAAAATATCAAATGAATAATATATTTTTAAGGTAAGAAATTAGTATACACGATTACAGGCTAGTATTTTAATACAAGCACACTAATATTTCATCAGTATCTTGGACATAGGTGCAATATTTAAATTTAGAGTTGAAAGTTGCCAATAAATATGCGCGTCACTGTAGGTCTGCTCAGTCAACACAATATGTCTGCTCAGTCAGCACAATATATGTCTGCTCAGTCAACACAATATATGTCTGCTCAGTCAACACAATATATGTCTGCTCAGTCAACACAATATATGTCTGCTCAGTCAACACAATATATGTCTGCTCAGTCAACACAATATGTCTGCTCAGTCAACACAATATATATCTGCTCAGTCAACGCAATTTGTCTGCTCAGTCTACACAATATATGTCTGCTCAGTCTAACAATATATGTCTGCTCAGTCAACACAATATGTCTGCTCAGTCAAAACAATATATGTCCTGTCTCTTATACACATCTAGATGTGTATAAGAGACAGCAATATATGTCTGCTCAGTCAACACAATATATGTCTGCTCAGTCAACACAATATATGTCTGCTCCTCAGTCAACGCAATATATGTCCTGTCTCTGCTCAGTCAACACAATATATGTCTGCTCAGTCAACACAATATATGTCTGCTCAGTCAACACAATATATGTCTGCTCAGTCAACACAATATATGGCCTTGTATATAACCCGCTGCCTGCCTCTATCCCTGGTCTCGTGTAACGCGGGCTGAGGGCATTTCCTTTATTGCTTACCGAGTTAATTCCTCTGAAGGGATAACAGAGCTGAATGAATTAGTAATGCAATTACTTCTATGGCATTGTCGAATGATGTGTGAATGGATTACTATACAATATAAACGTTTGATTTGATAAACGGTGATTGAGATACGGGGATTGAGATACGGGGATTGCGATACGGGGATTGAGATACGGGGATTGAGATATGGGGATTGAGATACGGTGATTGAGATACGGGGATTGAGATACGTTGCGAAATATCTTCTTCTTACGGGACGCACCGGTATCTGTAATACGCTGAGCTGAGAACAGACACCGCAGTTATCCAAAGGAACCTCGAATATCGCTAAATATTGGCAGCCAATTTCGTTAATTTCGCTCAAAAAATTACTATGATATTGCCTCTAAGTCTAATATGACAGTTTTACTGTATTATTGCCCTGTTTGCTAACCTATCTATATCCTAGTATGTGACTGCCAGAATGTGGTTGAGGGACTCAGAGTTGACTATGAGGCGATATGGACGTTGTAATTGGCAGCGAACATTTCCTGGACGGACTTGTGGTGAAACTCAAGGTGCTTGCACAGTTGCCCGGACAATGGCTTGTGCACTTTCAGGACCGCTGATAAAACTATTTCGGGATCAAATTTATCGACCCACTTATGTTTGACGAGAGGTAACACGACTTCTGAGACTGTGACGGTATTTTCGCGAAGCAACTTGAGCGCTTCAGCACCGATATATAGGCGAACAGACTGGCAACCATGCCGTCTGTATCTGTGTAGTTCGTCTCTCAATTTCGACTTGACCAATTCATGTAAAAGCTGAGCTTGTCAGGCGCTACGTCCCAGGGCGTCTGCCACGAGGATATTGCCTCGGTGATGTGCTTCTGCATCTCACAAAAATGGACCAAGTTAATTGGTTCAGAGAATTGACTTCTGGCATATTCACTGAGCGACTTGAAGCTCTTCGTGATCTCCCCAGTCGGAGTGTAGTTACTATAAGATCCACACGGTCCTGAGGGAGAGAATAAAATTCCAAAATTTTTCCGTATCAGCTCGAGCTTAGCCTTTTTCAATTCATCGGATTGATGTTAACCACAATCTTGCACTGAGAGAAATTTTTGCCTCCAAAAGCGAGTCATCCACAGAAGTGGGTCATAGTGACCCACTTTCTCCACTTCCCGCAGCATAAGCCGCAGCAAAACGGAACATGGGTCAGCGGATCATTGATATGACTCAGTTCGCCAAGTGCCTTCCTTGAACGAGGTTCATATATACGCTCATTGACTCCACTGATATTGCCTTATATTTCGTGTTGGTGTTAACATAATTCGTGTGTAAGCAGAGAATTAGTGCATTGGCTATGAGTAGAAAGAAAGATATTTACCGTTGTCAATAAATATAGGTAAATATTTACAGGCAGTGAGAGTTCCCTACTTCCCGCCCCTAGTACATACCGTGTGGCGTCTGCTAGTCATACCGCTAGTTCCTAGATCACAAAAACATGTACTGCCGCTAAAGTGTATATGATCGTTCTATTTGTGTTAAAAACAACTTAATTTTTACAGTATCATTATTTTGCAACGTAATAAACATATAGAGTTTATTTTCGTCTCCGAATGAAAATGGTTGGACGATAATATTTGGTAAGTGGCAACTCTAGTCGCGCCACAGCGAGTTGCCATAAACCTCTTAACAAAAGCCGTTACAAGAAAGTTGAGTCGTTGACATATTGCTGTCAGGACTCACTCTGGAGAATTAGTCAGTAGTAAACTTATTTTTATTCACTTTGGAGTTTGCAGTGATATTATTTAATAAAATTTAAGGTACAAGAGGTGTTGATGAATGAAAATTTAACGTAATTTATGTAGATCTTTCTATTTATGACTAGTGAACCTGTTCATAAAGTATCCGTCAAGACGTCCACGATGCTTCAAGTACCTACATCTTTCTGTATTCAAAATCAGTCAATCTTTGTTCATTGCTCAATCCAAAAATATCTGAGCTACAGATAGAATGTCTAGTTCCTGCTATTTTGATTCAATAATAGATATAAGTTTACTGTTTGTTTATTTAATTACTCACGCTCTTAAAAAGCTACCCTGTTAATTAGGTAATAGGAATTTGACTTGAGTAGTACTCAGTACTGGTATATCATAAGAACTTATTAAGTATTAGCCTAATTAGGGGATAAGATCATGAGAGGGTTAAAATCTCAACAAAAATGTCTAATAATATACCTCTTCATCTAATAATTTTGCTAGGAAATTTATTATCTTTTTAAAATTTACTATACAATGTTTTGAATTCGTTTCAGGAATTTTAATTACTTGTTACTTTTTAGACATAGTTTATCTATTTACTGTTGAAGCATTATTAGGCAGAAGTGCAGAACAACTTTACATTCTGACTTCTTTATTATGAATTGAACATTATGTATAGCTAAGATTGATGTCAAATCAATGAAATCATCTTGCCAATTTGCTAAAATATGTTCATTAAAATTTAAAAAAAGTGGGACAAAAAGAATTAAGAGAGTGTGCACTGTGTTACAATGACTAAGAAAAAAAGCATTTTAGTGGCAAAGAAGTGTGAAAAAAGAAATGTGAGAAAAGAAATGTTGCTTTCAAGGCTTCAACATGCAGTGAATGTTACAACAAAATGCATGGTCCAAAATGTGACAGCACTCCTCACTCATGTGAAGTGGAAAAGAAGACCCAGTTCGAAATTCTCGCAGTCATTGCGGCCGTTCGCCGCAGAGACGTTCGCAAACGCGCAAATCTAGGCCGTTGTTGCCGACTTCACCTCGCGTCCAAGCAGTCTAGCGATGATATGGCCTCATCTGCCACGAACAGCGCGAGGCCTCGGTCGGCAAAAGATGCGGCAGGCAACTGGCCGCACCTCTGCCGCGGCCTACGTCGAATATGCCGGCGGTAACGGTTCAAGCTTTGAGGAGGCAGGGAGAGGAAGGGGGTGAAGGGGGAGGAAGGCGGAGGGATATTGAAAGAACCTTCTAGGCATGAATCTCAATATGGAGCTTTTACCGGAAGAAACTGATTGAATTATTCGCTTATTTAATTTCTCTAAAATTATGAGGTTTACATGATTTTTTATTTTCTACATTTTTTTCGACAGTTCTATTCTATTCTATACTACAGCGAATCCATGTCGCCAGTATTTGTGGAACTAGTTCCATGCAGTATTGTGTGTATTCAGTTTATTGACATAAATTCGGAAAAACGCGAAATCGGTATATAATCTGAAAGTAAATATAATATAAATTTACAAAATAATAGAAATACTAAATGAACGCAAACGGTAACTGCCAGGCTACTACGCATGCGCGACAGCGAACACTGCATGCGCAGTAGTTAACTAGTCTCCGCTGTCCGCTCTAAACAGTGGTGTGGCCGGGAAGTACCGAGGATGTACGTGTGGTGCAGTGCACACGACCCGAATTCGGTTAATTTTGGATAAATATTGGAGGTAAGGAACAGATAAAACGTCAAAATTTAATGTATTTACATTTTCATCCGGTTTAAGATCTCATGCGCAACTATCAAGGGGAAATTATGGTTACTGCAGTCTGCAAGTCATGGAACATTGCTTCTCGTACGAGGATTCATCTCCAGCCTTTAACTTACTGTATTGCTATCGAAAGGCACGCTTGCCTATTGAATCCGTTGTCAATCCCCTCAATTCTAGTTAAACGTTATGATTATGATCTGAAATGAACTTTTTGTCTCGGAGTTATGTATAAATGCGCCACCGTAAAAATTTCGAGAAGCCTACTTTTTTTTCTATATTAAATTAGCTGATATTTTGAATCTAATCGAGATGACAAGAGCCAGTTAAACTTAGCACGTCTGTAAGCTCGTGTTACTGGTCACAGGTTCACTGATCAAAACTGATGGAATCCATTTTGTTGCAGGCAAATGTTGAATGCAGCTAAACCCGACTATAACTTTGCCCGCGAAGCAGTCGAGGCCCCAGAGGAATCGGATGAACAGTCTCTCAAGTTTCACGGCATTGACTGCATCGATATCGGGTGCAGGAGGGACCTGATAAGCTGATATGCTGTCAAATTTCTGCTCATTGCACCACACGATGATTGCTAATTAAGGTGAGAAATCAAATGGACGCCTAAGTTTGAATCTCTACTTCATGATGAAGGGACTTTTTCCTAGTTGCGCTGCGTGCAGCATGGCGGCGGCGGCGGCGGGGGGCGTGAAGGTCAGCCTGACGCTCCGCCCCCTCGACTACGAGCCTCAAGACGACCTCCTCCAGCCGCTGCACGACAGCGGGTAAGAACCTGTAGGTGCATGTAAGAACCTGTAGGTGCATGTAAGAACCTGCATGTAAGAACCTGCAGGAGCATGTAAGAACCTGTAGGTGCCTGTAAGAACCTGTAGGAGCCTGTAAGAACCTGCAGGTGCATGTAAGAACCCCATACTACCATTGTCACACGACCTAACTAAGGTGCTTGCTCGTACATGTTCAAAGACGACGCTATCTTCAAGCCTCAAGGCACTAACTATACAGATGTCAGAGAACGATGCATCGCAGGTAGCATTTTGCCAGGCACAAGTACAAAATATACAAAAGGAATATTTTTTAGGGCAAATGCCGAGATATTTCTGTCAATTTATAACCGGCATAACTGGAGTTTTTTTTTTCTATTTCTTAGTATTATTTGAACTTCTTGATCGAAGTTCTTACATAAATTTGAAGTATGAATTTCCTTTCCTTTGAAGTATGAATTTCATAGAAAATATCTTCATGTCGTCTATTTTCATAAAAGTGTTTTCTTACTTAACTCCTATTCAGGGACAAGCTGATACACTTTTATTCTTCAGGGGAGTCTAGCCAACTGCTCTGCCTAGTCTACGTGTCTAGCTGTGTCGACGTTTACCTCAGCAGTGGAAAGCCGCCGCAAAAACTTCGCGCTTAAAACCAGAGCTATTTCAGTGAAACTTGCTGGATTAACGGAAACAGCCACAACGCATCACCGACCCACTCAGAAAACATTACAAGTTATCATGGTGTGTCATGCGTGCAGTTGCTTTAGTATGGTGATTTTGTATACTATTTCCCCTTGAAATTAATTTTTCAACTATTATCAATTTCCGTTCTGAGATGATGAGTTTCATGCATTGAGTACTGAAGTACTTATTTTAGAAATTTCAAACTAGTTTAGAGTTCCACTTCACGTATTTGACTACTGATTACTAAGTTAGATTCTCAAGTATTGTGGTGCTTATCATTTACAATTTATACGAGATGATGTTATCCTCTAGCCGACGCCGTTGTAAAAACCTGGAATAAGCTTGTATGTATATTTTGAAAATAATGAAGGGGCTACATTATCGTACGTAATCGTGTATTCTAAAATATAGTTATACCAGTTTTGGAATAGATTTCTTAATTTATGTTTGTCGACTGCTTAAACTCCATGTGTAAGGCTTTACGTTTTACTCCAAAAATGTTTTGTAGTTTGAATGTTTATATGCACTTGAGGTTCTAATAAACGGCCCGAACATGTAAATCTTTTTATTTCTGTCATAAATTGTTATACTTGTTCCTACTTCATATCTCAGAATGACTGCATTAAAATTCGCTTTATAATTTTGTATGTGTTCGTTGTTACATAATTCCCTATGCCCTCCACAATTATTATATATAGCTCCACAAAGTAGGGGAGCTATATATATAGTGGAGGGCGTAGGGATTTTTTTTTGGCTCGAAATTCACGTTCGGCCACCTCTGGCCTGCGGGAATTTTGCGCAACGGTCCCGCCAATCGCGGCAACCACCTTCGCGATAGCGCGGAAGCTGGCAGTGCCTGCCGGCCTGGTCGCTCGCGGTAGGACAGACTGACTGCGGCAGCAGGCCCTTTCCAGGCGGAGAAGCTCTGCCACAATATTGCGCTGCTGTGGACATTCCTGCGCTGTTGGCCACCCTGGCGTTGCGCTGGGGCGAGCGTTGGCGCAGGCAAGTTCACCCGCGGCTGGCTTACTGACTGCGGCGATTTCTGACTGGGGAATTACTAACTCCAATGTGCTATCTTAAACAATAATTCATGGGTAAGATGATGGGATTGTGACCTATATGCCCCAGTAATTCTATAATCTATACCACTGCCACGTCTGCCAGTATGCCCAACTTAAGATGACTCCACCAGATGCACCAAAGCAAGATAGAAATGTAAGGTAAGCAGTAAGCACCACATTAAGTGTAATTTTGAATTATCTTAAAAATTTGTTAATCTAATCAACAATCATAGCTGCCATTCATGCAATCTGTTGTCTGATTAATAAAGTATTAATTCTTTTTCATAGAAGTCACAGAGAATTTCTGATATCATCAAGTAAATTTATTACATTCCCATCCATAAGCTTAAATTCAATTTTTATTCCACTTTTTTATATGATCACCCAAGATTCGGAGTCAAGATCAAGTTGTGTTCATAATTATTTTTGTCTGAAAATTTTTGAATAATCTGTAGCAATTTGTTTGCAATTGTGCAAGAATATATTGGAAATTTCCTTCCTAGTTTACCTGTAAAAATGTTGAAATTTTTTTATGAATATCACTGCAGGCTAATAACACTTCAAATTTCCTTCATGGTTCAAATAAAATTTTTTTCTAGAATTAGCTGATGCCAATCAATCGAATAAAGTGAGATTTGTCTCCTACTAAAGAAGTAAAGATAACCTGCAGTTTAAAGCATAAATTCACTTTGAGATCATTATACAGAGTTGTGATTGCTTTCAATTAAATGTCTAGTTAGTTTAGTGCATGGTATGAGTCATGAATAAGGAATTTAACACTGCAAAAATATGATCTATTACAATGTTTCAAACAAGAAATTATACCTTTCCTCATAGAATTTAAAAAATGGCTCCTGTATTAAATAAAACAAGTCTAATTAATATGCTTTTTCAGTTCAACGATTCTGCCGTGCTCTCACCTACCCACCTCCGCTACTAAAGGAGGAACTTTGCCTGGCTACGATTCACCATCAAATTTGAATGCAGCCAGAAGGGTCAGTAATGTGTCCCAAGAATAAATTTCCTAATGTTTAGGGTCGTCACCCCAGAGAACTTCCTATAGACGAGTTACGATGATTTTACAAACATTTCCTGATAAGATGAGGTTTAGGGTGCCTCAAGAGTACAAAAGTTTGGTATATGAATACCACCCGAGGCCTAAGAAAATAATAAATAGCAATTTTTGAGACCTAAAAACTTGCTAATTTCTCTTCCAGAGAAGCCGTGCCTATCCATTTTGCTTATTTGTGGTGTGATAATTACATTTATTTTTCAACAGTGTTTGCTTAAACAGTGCACTGTTTGCTAAACAGTGCAACAGTGTTATTCTTTTAGAAATGGCGGTCCAAAATGGACAAGAAAGTAGTTGTAGAGATTGCTAAGCATAAGTGAATGTAGCCTGTCATCAGATCTTTTTGTTCATTTTTACTTGCTTGCCTTGCTGTTTTCTGATATTTTGCAACTGCTGTATCTATTATAAGACTGATTACTGTCCAATAAAATCGATGACATGGCAAGCTTCTGTCAGATCTGTTGAGAAGTGAAAGAGTTCACAGGTTACCACCATAATTATCTTTCCATGCTTATGGCAGGAACAAGCTTCTTGGGAGTTCAGAAGTTTTATTTTGTGACTGGTAATGAGATAGCACGAGGTGTTAATGATCAGCTACCAGTCATGGCACTGTGAATCTCTTGTAGTAGGAATGTGTTTAAACAACATTTCCACCAACAACAGCAAGTTTAGGGATGCTTGACCCCCGTTTGGGAATGAATTGGGCTGACGCCTGCTCTGGTGCCTAATTGTTAGCAAAATATTTTTTTATTGTGAATTAACATTGCAAATAAACTATATTTGGTTTGGTGATATCAAATCAAAAAATTATGTAAACCAAAATTAATGTAAACATGATGGCAGGTGAAATGTTATTTTAGCAAAATATCAATCTATGAGCATACCTATTGAGCGATTAGGTTAGCTTGTTGAATCTGCTACAGTGATAACATTCGTCTTTATATTGCAGGAACTGGCAACTCATCTTATGAAGAAAATTCCAGAGGTCTCCTGCACTTGTGTCACTTCAAGTTCAAGATGAAGCTAAATTCAAGCACAGTTCCCGTTGGCGTTACTGCAGTTCATGTACCTCTGGCTGCTGTTATACTTCCTTTTGGCTCTGCTGTGATAATTTACCTACTGTCACTACAGACCAGCAGAGTGGTAAAAAAGGCGAGACAGGCAACACGTGTGACGGGCGAGACAGTGAGCATGTGTGACAGGCGAGTCTTTACATGTGTGACAGCCAACAAAGTTTGCATATTTGACAGCCAAGACAGTTTGCATGTGTGGCAGGCGTGTCAGGTTGCATGTGTGACAGGCGAGTCGGTTTGCATGCGTGACAGGCGAGTCAGTTTGCATGTGTGGCAGGCGAGTCAGTTTGCATGTGTGGCAGGCGAGTCAGTTTGCATGCGTGACAGACGAGTCGGTTTGCATGTGTGACAGGCGAGTTAGTTTGCATGTGGGACAGGCGAGTCAGGTTTCATGCGTGACAGGCGAATGATTTTGCATGCGTGACAGGCGAGTCAGGTAGCATGCGTGACAGGCGAGTCAGTTTAGCATGTGTGGCAGGCGAGTCAGGTTGCATGCGTGACAGGCGAGTCAGTTTAGCATGTGTGGCAGGCGAATGAGTTTGCATGCATGACAGGTGAGACAGTTTTCATGCATGATCGACAGACGAGGCAGTTTACATGTTTGACAGGCGAGACAGTTTGCATGCGTGACAGACGAGACAGTTAACATGTATGACTGGTAACTTATGTCACAGGCGAGAATTTGCAAGAATGGCAGGCGAGACTGACAGACACTTTTACCAGAACTAGGTGTAAGAGCCAGCATCTTGCTGCGTGGCAGCGGTTAGCAAGTAGAGGTAACAGACTAAAAAAATATGCATCATTTTTTTATGTAAGAGCTATTTCCCAATAAACAATGTTTGCTTATTGTTTGCGTTTGATTCTTCCACCTTTATTCCACTTTCATAGTGCTTATGGTGCACGAAAATTCGGTCCAAGTGCAGTAGGAGAGCGAGCAGAAGTGAGTCATGGCAAATAGTTAAATGTCCAGAAGTGGGTCAATATGACCCACAAAAGCCCAAAGTGAGTCTAGGAAGTAGATCAGATTTGGGACGGGCCATGACTCACCTAAGTGGGTCATCCAGACCCACCCATTTCTCTCAGTGTGGTCTTGTTGAGCACTACATCGTTTCGGATATTCTTGATGTCACGAATCACATCGAGCAACGTTTCAGCAGAACGCCTGTTTCCGTCATTGCAGGGTCGAGTAATGACCCTGTGCCCTCGTGCATTGCTAGTTTGCAGATTGGCTATCTCTTAATTAGGCTACCTCAAATTGAATTTTGACCTCACGAAAATTTTTTTCAACTGTTTTCGTGTATCTCTCATATTGACATGGAGCCAGTGTCGTCGTTATCAGTGAACAACTATCAATCTTATACTCGCATTGTCCAACATATACAGTTTTGCCTCAATTACATTCGAGGACTATTGAAATATGGCCTCCGAAGTGCCTTGATCACTTATTAAAAAAAGTAAAATTTCAGCAGTTTAGTTCCATAATTAAATAATTTAATTGATGAACTGATACAATTAAGGGGACCGCCCTAGCTAAAATTTGAAAATTTTGAGTTTTTCTGTTTCTTATCTCATCTTAAAGGTTGTTTTCTTGCGCATCGAACGGTATGGCTGGAGCTGAGCTCACCACAGAGTGAGTGTTTAGTTATAAAAAATTTTACCGAAGGAGGGATTACTGAGGGAAAATGGCACCTCTCTAGTGTGTCTGATATTTCTATTTAGGTGATAACTGATGATTGTTCTGAACGATAACTGATGACAATTGTTCTAAACGGTAAATGATGAAAATAATTTATGATAATTCTGACTAGTGACACAATAAGTGACATCCATGACTCAAAAAGTCAATATGTGTAACTTGTTAACTTTTATCTAATATTCAAATGTTTGTGCGACTCAGTCAGCAATAATTAATATAAATGTTTCTTAAAGCTAATTTCATTTGAACCTCGGCACGCAAGATAGTTAGTTACACACATTTAGCCATCATATTAATTCAATACCTACGCCGACTCATGATGTAATGACACACACACACTTACTGACTCATCACATCAGCCGTGTACTCACAATGCGCCTCATCACTCCAGTCCCCGCAGTTGCTCCTGCCGTCGCATTCATAACGCTTGTGGATGCATTTGCCGTTGCCGCATACGAAATGGTCGCCGGTGCAGCCTGCCATAAATCAAAGAAGCCGTAAATGTCGGGCTAACTAATTAATATAAATAAATTTGTACAGGTTGATCGGGTTTCCTGAACGCGAGGCGAGGAACAATGTGTAGAGGTAAGAATGTGATTAATGTGTTGTTTATAACATCGCATCGGAGGTGTGGAAAAGTTTAAATATGCAATGGGTTCAGCGGGCCAAAACTTCCATGGAAAGAAAATCTAGGCCCCAGAAGAGGTTGAACTCGACTTCTGGTTGAACTCGACAGCTCGGCAACTAGGCCCCAGAAGAGGTTAAACTTGACTCGCCATCATAGTAATATAATGCCTACGCTGACTCATGATAAGATGACACACACTCACTGACTCATTACATCAGCCGTGTACTCACAATGCTTCTCATCACTCCAGTCCCCGCAGTGGTTGCTGCCGTCGCATTCCCAACGCTTGTGGATGCACGTGCCGTTGCCGCATACGAAGTGTTCGCCGGTGCAACCTGCGATAAATTAAAGAAGTCTTGAATGTCGGGCTAACTAATTAATATAAATAACTAATTTTATACAGGGTGATCGGGTTTCCTGAACACGAGGAGAGGAAGAATGTGTAGAGGTAAGAATGTGATAAGAGCACAAAAAGATCATCTTTTCAACTCGAAATAAAAGACAGTAGAATTGCGCGGAAGCGTTCGACTCATCAGGCAACTCACACTCGCGCTCGTCGCTGTCATCGCCACAGATGTTTTCACCGTCGCACCGCTTCGTCTCGTCTATGCAGCGGCCGGTGTTGGCGCACTTGAACTGATCAGAGCGGCACACGCCTGCAATCACAAGTAATGCGGTAAAAAATTTTCAGATCCCAATGGAAACTGTCTAATTCAGATCCTCATATCAACTCGAAATAAAAGACAGTAGGATTGCGCGGAAGCGTTTGACTCTTCAGGCAACTCACAGTCGCGCTCGTCGCTGTCATCGCCACAGTTGTTGTCTCCGTCGCACCGCCACGTCTCGAATATGCAGCCGCCGTTAGCGCACTTGAACTGATCAGAGCGGCACGGGCCTGCAATCACAAGTAATGCGGTAAAGAATTTTCAGATCCTAATGGGAACTGTCTAATTCAGGGGCCGTATTATATAACTTCGTAAGTACGCAAAATCAACTTACGAGTGGCGTAAGTGCTGACTTGATGACGTAACTCTAGAGGTGGTATTGTCAAAACATTTGCGCGGGAAGATACGTAACGTAACTGTACGCCTGCTCGGAGATGTCGTAAGTGGAGTTCCGCACAAGTTTAGAGTGTCTGCAGAAGCGATAGGAAACTATTGATTTACTAGCAAGTAGTAACACCTTGACTTGTGATAGAATTTTGTCAATAATCCGACAGCGTGGATTATACACGCATAGAATGACGGCTCTACTTCTGATGGCTCCACTACTTGATCGTGCAACATTCGCACGATCAAAATATGTGTTCGTGCCAAACAATGCTATTGGAAAAAAATTCAATTGAGTTAATGCCAGAAACTGATTTTGTTTTCCTTTTACCTTTTATTTTACAAACAACTATTTTAGAACGGCTTTTTCTGGACCAACAATTATTTAAGGAGCAATACCGACAGACAGCATTCGATAGTCGATACCATCGAAGGCATCGATTCTCGCCATCGAAGTTCACAGAATGTAAACAAATCCAAAGCCTCTGATTGGTCAGTTGGCCAGATGGTTTTGATAGTACGCTGTTAGCTAAGTCTTACGTACGAATGTTTTGATAATGCTAAAATTAGGATGTACTTACGTAACACGTAACTTTTTTATCGGAAGTACAAAAAGTTACGAAATTTTGATAATGCGGCTCCTGATCCTCATATCAACTCGAAATAATAGACAGTAGGATTGCGCGGAAGCGTTTGACTCATCAGGCAACTCACAGTCGCGCTCGTCGCTGTCGTCGCCACAGTTGTTGTATCCGTTGCACCGCCGCGTCTCGGGTATGCAGCGGCCGGTGTTGGCGCACTTGAACTGATCAGAGCGGCACACGCCTGCAATCACAAGTAATGCGGTAAAGAATTTTCAGATCCTAATGGAAACTGTCTAATTCAGATCCTCATATCAACTCGAAATAAAAGACAGTAGGATTGCGCGGAAGCGTTTGACTCATCAGGCAACTCACAGTCGCGCTCGTCGCTGTCATCGCCACAGTTGTTGT